ACCATAGACATATCTCACTAAGAACTACAAGATGCACGAGGGTGTGGATAGGTATGAGTCTTGCCTTCACCCGCACCACCTACACACTCACACACCCTTTTACAACCTCTATTCATATATATTACTCGTCACTCTTTCGAGATAATGAAGATGTTAAATGAATAATAAGTGATGAAAATCTTAAAATATTTTTAATCAAATATCTCATACATTTAATATGTATCGAAGAATCAGAACCATCGACTCATCTTTGATGGTTCGTCTGACGTTTTCATCTATGTTTGTAAGGATCTATCTATCTTTTTCTATATGATATTTGAGCATAGATATTTCTGTAAATACAGACAAGTAGGGTGTGGGTGTGGATTGGGTTTTGGGTGCAAGCGTTGTATTCAACCATATCCACACCAACACCCTTTTATTACATGATATGTTTTACTAAGAGAATAAAATACATTACAAGATGCCGAATGAAAAACTCTACAATTTACATAGCAGTTATAAAAAAATGAGATAACAAAAAACAGATTCGTCTTTTACCAAGAAAAAATCACGATTTTGTACTGTCGAAATTGGGTCGATCAAAGTTTTGTCAATTTTGAAAACAAAAAGTGTAAACGTGAAATAAGTGGTCCTTTAAAATCGTACAGCTTTTCGCGCTGCATCTTCTGGTGTATTTTGATTTTTCAATACAAGGTGTTAAGTGATAACAAATTGAAATTCGAAAGTATCCCACCCACTATAATGTATTGCTACCAGCTAGTTTTCAACAAAAACAGGTCTTATCGAAAGTGTATTATTTTAACATTAATTGAAGAGTAATCAAACAGCATAGAAAAATAGAGGATCCTTTTCTCTATCTTTTTATAAAAAAAGACAATTTTCGCCGGCTTCCTATACGAAAATGAATGACCTTCGACTCTACTTTTGGATTATCCTAACGATTCTTCTAAAATTTTAAATGCCGTCATTAAAATTTTTGGTCAGTTCAAAGTAAGCATTGAGTCTAGGCTGACTTTTTTATTATATAAGATCGAAATAAGTGAAACGGTTGGGCTATTACAACGTACTTTAAAGTAGAAAACTATCATGTTTCTCTGTTGATGAAAGCTACCCGATGGTCATTCCTATCAAGATACTAATTACCTGCACATATATTTTTACACTGTTTTGTTGTTATTCTTTTCTTTTGACTAAACATACGAATCTTGAGATAAGTGCATCTTGCGAGTGAATACATTCTCGCAAGCATTTTTATTATCTCTCGATAGAAAAATTCGTTGAGTTCTCTTCATCACATGTTCGTGCAGGTAATGAATAAAAATGAAACGACGAACAAACATGACCCAAACTTTAGAAAAATCAAGTAGAAGCTACTGCTGCACCATCTGATCTACCTTCAATTACAGTTGACAAGTCATTTACCAACAAATGCCTTATTAGTTCTTTTTCAACTGTCAACGAAGGTTTGACAGATGAATTAAACATAAATGAAGATGTATCCGAAATTGTACCATCGATCGAAAAGACAGTTCTCAGAAGAAATCTAAGTCTCTTCTCAGGAATAAACTTTATTATTGGAATTATCATCGGTAAGTATCCATAATACTAATAAGACCGATGCATTTCTCCAAGAACAATTTTCTACCAAGGTACGGGTATATTTGTTTCACCAAAAGGTGTTCTACTTTACAGTCAATCAATTGGCTTGTGTCTTATCATCTGGGTAGCTAGCGGCTTTATTGCGCTAGTTGGTAAGCTCAACAATTATTTCTATTTTGAAAGAACAGTGATATTAGATGCAAGAGTATTTAGATAGAAAAAATTCAATTTGTCAGATCTCTTCGCTTGGCAGATAGAATCCACAGTACTTCTCACTAAAACGCTATTTAATAATCTTGAAAACTATTTTGTGGATGTATGCATCTGGGTGAGTCTTGTCTTCTATCCAAGGGGGGAAAGACGAGACTTCATCGTACTTCACTTGTACTTCCTCTGTACTCACTCGTGCTTCACTGTACTTTACTTGGATTTCTACTTGTACTTCACCTATACTTCACTTTACTTCACTCCATTTCACTTGTATTTCACTGCACTTCAAGTACAATTTTGAAGTACGCGTGGAGTACTGAAGTCACACTTTTCTCCCTTGCTTCTATCCCACACACTCACACTCTCAGTGAGTACTATATTTCGACATATTATGCAACCATTTCAAAATTATCTTGAGAGTGTTGGTGTGGATCTAGGCGTTTTAATTGAGCAATCGCACTTACACTTACACCTACTTTTAGTCATTTCCATCCTTTAAAACAGTCTAGTTCTCTTTCTTATGGCAGATTCTAATTGTAACTCAAATCAAATTCATTCCTTTCCAAACTATAGATGGCACATCGATTCTCGGAATAACAAATCTTTTCTGTTTATCAGTGAAGCAGACAGTTTTTCCTTCAAGTAGAAAGTATCGGAACCGGTTATGATCGGCACTTATTACTCTACTTTTATGTATCAGCAGCAAACTCTTCCTGGGAGTATGCTTCACAATGGATAAAGATTTTTGTTGAACATCATTGCCATTTTTTATCAAAAAACTGTGTTTTACGTACCATTTTCCATGGATCAATGGTCCAATATCACATTATCTTTCTTTTTTCTATCAAGTCGAAACAGCTATTTGTAGCTCATCAATAGTTTCATTAAAATAATCATGCATCTAATCTTATCTGGTTATATTAGAAAATGTTTTCAAAATTTTGCATATTTATTTCTAGGAGCTCTATGCTATGCGGAAATTGGTACAGTTATTCCGCTGAGTGGTGCAGAACTTTCCTATATTCAACAAGGTATTATGCGTTCACTTTGTAAAACAAGGCTTTCATTCGTCATGAGGGGCAATAGAATACACACTCAAAATTCATATAACTATATTATATTATGGCATTCATTATACCCAAAACGACGACGTAAAGAGAGACTACTGAGATTTATTGGATCTATTCAAAAAGAGAGCCATAATTTAGAAGAGTTAATCCTCATCCTCCACTAGATACTGCTTCCGTCTGACGATAACATAGCAGGATTTTATAGGAAAAAGCTAAAAAGTTCAAAAAGACAAAATAAATCTTAAAAGCTACTGACATCTACAGGTATCGGTTCCGTTCATAAGCAAACCGGCGAAGTTTTAGCTTTTATATTCAATTGGTCAACTGTATTTATCCTCCAACCAACAGGTATTGCTGTGGTTGCTCTTACCTTTTCACAATATCTTTTATCTGGAATAATGAATGGTAGTTTATTTTATTGTCAATGGCAACATCATATTTACAATTATTCGTTTAGATAATCGTCCATCCGAAGAAATCTTTAAGATAACAGCTATCGTTGCTCTTTGTGTGTCAACTTTTAAATGAATTGTCTTCATACTTTTACTTTCTGCTTTAGTAATCCTCATCATTGTCAATTCAATTAGTGTTCAAGCAGCAACTCGTCTGAATGCGGTCTTTGTCATTTGTAAGTTTCTTACCATTTTAATGGTTATCATTGTTGGTCTTATTCGACTTGGACAAGGTTTGTGTATCAATTAAAAGAGATATATATCATAAGATTAAAATGTTTAATTTATTATAAACCTGTATAGGATACATACAAAATCTACAAGATGGGTTTGCTAGTCAGTACAAGGCAGCGAGAAACATTCTCACATGGATCTTTTCTACTATAGGTACCACAAAGAAACCGTTGAGCATTGTACTTGCTTTTTATTCTGGACTTTGGGCGTATGATGGGTGGAACTGTTTGAATGCAGTCACAGAGGAGCTCAAAAACCCGAAAAGGTACAGAATATTGATCAGAAGAAAAATTTATACACATACACTAGAATAATTCATCGTCCTTTTTCATTGATTACCAAAAAATAAAAATCGGAATGTAGTGCAGAGTTGAAAGCAATAGGTAGCTGAGCAAAGATTCATCTTATATAAGATTGTTGACTTAATACATATCTGAGCTTTATTACTCATAAGTATGGCCATAATGATGTACAATAAGGGCGCAACGATAAAAGATGAAATTATTATTTGATACATGACTTTTAACTATGCTATTTCGATTTAAACTGATCGCTAGAGGGATCATGAACTTTTCTCTACTTCTTCTATAAGTGATAAGGACTGACTGATATCAAGACTTTCTATGGCGAAAAAGTTATCCAAAGAATGAGGTCGTATCTTACTCAAGCATCCGATTATTATACGTATGCCTAAAAGCTTTGCGTTTTAGAACCTCGAACTTTGACCAATACATACCATAATTTAGACTTCAGTTATTTTGCTAAAACATAAATGTCTTAATGATGCAGAATTTTCAATATTTCCTGTAGAAAAATAAAATCTGTCTATGTCTATGATGTTGTTCGATGAATTTTCTTTTCACTCTTTTTCGAATACTGTCTTTCTAAATAATAAGGAGTCTTTCTATGTCTATATGTGCTTTGATACTGGATTATCATAATAGTAAAATATTTTAGAATAATCAGTTATCAACTAAAAAAACAGTGCGGAAGTATAAGTTTGGATGAGATTAATAAAACAATGAACGTTGATTTTCATTGCCATTCTCACGTCTAACATCCTCAAGATAGTTTTATAGGGAATAAGGCTTTGCAAATGCCAATAGAAAGGAAATCTTCTGATGTTTAAAAACTACGCTTAACCAGTCGATTCCATCTCCAAGCTAAATACCAGCATCAAGTATTATATGAATATACTTGTAACAACTTAGCTTTATGTTGACACACGTGCAAGATACAAAAGAAACCATACAAAGACAAATATTGTTTGTCATTATAGAAACAACCGTCTGTGAATTCTATAGATAAATTCGAGAGGGATACTATTCTCATGATAATATTTTTTCATAGAAATTTATGGTTAGCCATTATTTTGGCGGTACCATCTGTCATCATCATATATCTTTTAACCAACATATCCTATTTTACGGTGATGGACAAAGCGGCATTACTTAACTCAGATACTGTTGCTGTAGTAAGTTCTAAATTGAATCACTATTTTTCTTTTTTGAATAATTCTGCTCTTTGATAGACATGGGGAAAGGTTGTTCTGGGTCCTGCCGTTCGTATTCTTCCCACTCTCATATCTATTAGTGCACTGGGTACTTGCAATGGGTCTCTGTTTATGAGTGGTCGCTATTGTATGGTTGGTGCTCGTTATGGTTATCTACCAGAAGTATTTTCTTGCATTCAAAAACAACGATTGACACCGTTACCTGCAATTGTTCTTGAGGTTGAAGCAGTATATACATAACTCTTGTTACCTAGTGATTAATTTCTGAATATTAACAGGGAATTCTTTCAATCGTATTTTGTATTCCAAGCAATATCGAATCATTGATTGAGTTTTTCAGTTTTGTGGCTTGGATATTTTATGGATTAACGTTTGTTGCAACTCTGTGTTGTAAATTCACAAAGAAAGAAGTCAATCGAGTGATTAGTGTAAGTAAAATCCAATTTTCGAATCAAATAAGAAACAAACTTGGTTCTATAAAGGTTCCAATACCATTGATTATTATTATTATTTTAATTGCAATCTATCTGATTATTACTCCAGTGATTTCCAATCCGAGTATTGGCTTTCTTGTTGCTACGATTCTTCTTCTGTTTGGTCTAGTATTCTACTATCCATTTGTCTATCGTAAAATGGAATTGAGACTGATACGTAAGTATATGATTAGTTTGAAAAATTCATCATGCAACTAATAGCCAAGTCTTCTAGAACAAATCAATGCCTTTCTCAAGCGATGCTTTCAGTTAGAAAAGTCCGATGTAAACATTAATTAATAAAAACATTCGATCAAACGTATACTACTATTTTATTTAATAAATGAACATTGAATCAATTGACAATTCGCTTTTTTTGGCATTCATTTAAAATAATTAGATTACCTTAATTTGTGAATGATGCACGAAAGCATTCAAATAGTATGTGTATCATATCTATTGGTAGTATGGTATATGAGTACGAATAAATTACAATTCGTCTTACTGGTTACTTGTTTTAAGACAAACACAAAATCTTCCTATGGCAACATGAAATTGAGATAATTCGATTGAAGCATATTGAGCATAAATACGTAGTTCTATACAATTTTTAAAAAATTCTTCGTTTCTGTAAATTTTTCGAAAATACAACTCAAGCTGAAGATCATGTTTTGATAGGGATATAAATCGATTGATACTACTATTATTATTTTTTTGTTGTCTACCGATTGATAATGGACAACGGAAGATTTTATTTCAGCGAAAATACTAAAAATTCAAAAAATTCAAATTAATAAAGATTTTTCATTTAGTGAAAGCCTATAGAACAAGAGCATTATAGCATTATCTGTCTAATAATGATGAGCAAAGACGATCAAACCTTAGAAAATAACTATTTTGTTTTTCAATGATCATTTCACTTGTCGATTGACGTCTCTACCATAAATATGCAAAATCCAGTGAGAAAATTATTCTAAAAGATGATTATCTGTGACAAAAAATGTTTCAGGATATTCAGGTATGATTCTATTAAAAGTTCTCTTTTGCTTCTTTCTTCTGATTCGCTTTTACTTCGAATAAATAGATATCAAACAAACAAACATGGCAATAAGAAAAAGCATAAAAAAATATCAACAGAAAAAAGGAGAGCAAAAGAATGTGAACAAAGAAAATCAGACACCGATAACAATAGTTAGTTAGTTAGAATCATTACCGTTACCAGTGTAGGATGAGAAACAGAAAAAATACACAAATAAACACAAAAATGAAAATTCAAAAAGTCAATGTTTTTTCCATTTTTGACGACGGTCCTGTTGATCGCTTCTGAGAATTGAAATCATCGTATACATCAGAATGCTAGCCTCTGGTGTACCAGTTTAAATAATACCCATCATTCATTCCAAGATTCCATTCCAGTAGGTGTCAATAACAATAGAATGTGAAGGCATATCGTGTATACATCTGCCACAGGTTCGGTAGACAATAATCTTTCCTATTATCATTTAACCAACTGCCTGCTACCGAGAAATACATTGTCTTATATTTTGGAATAGGTGGGTGTGGGTGTCGGCGTGGTTGTGGGGGATGGGTAGGCGTGAATGTTCTTTTAAACGAAGCCTCAATCAAACCCACATCCACTCATGCCTCCACTCCCACCCACACCTGTCCCACACTACCCACAGCCACAGTCGCATCTACACCCACACACCCCGTACCCCACACCACCTCACATCCACACCTATACCCACACCTATACCCACACCCACACCCACACCCACACCCACCCACACTCACACCCACCCACACCCTCAAGTTTCAATTTAGCTGTGCAATCCACGATTCGATTGTTATTAATAAGGCAGATAAGTATAGAAGAAAGAAAAAAAATGTATGAAAGAGATAGAACGAAGAGTAATGAATCATTTTTTTTAGCTTCTTCAACTAATAGAAATCTCACAAATACCTCTATGATGGGCTAAGCCAGTATTATGACTTTCTTCTTTTTATCTGTCTCGCTAATGACAACGAAAGTTACGGAGTATAAAATGAATCTCATTAGAAAAGAAAACAATTATTTTTAATGTTTGAATAGTCCGTTTGTGAATTATGAATGTGAAAATTATCTAATATGCGCCGATATTGACATAAGAAGAGTGACGTAGGTCTTACATGGCATCTACTTATCAGGTGATATTTTACAAAATTTTTGCATGTATTTTGCTTTCAATTGAAATAAAATGTTATCTTTTCTTGGTTTTTCTTCTTGTATCAAAGTCAAGAACAGAAATGAATAATAACGAAGAAAAGGCATAAACTATTTTCAAGTACATTTCTTTCTTGAAAGAAGCAAGATAATAGGATATCATCGAAGTTTTTCATAAACAGAACAATCTTTTCAATTAATAATAAAATAACACATTTTTTTTATAGAGATGACAGGAGGTGATAATGTGAATGTTGCCATAGCGGATGCTATTGGACCTGATGGTGGTTGGGGATGGATGATTGTTTTTTCATCTTTCATGATTCATTTCATCATGGATGGGTAAGTTGTTGGATGAAAGTTTACATTGATGTTTAAACATTTAATCGACTGATAGTATCACCTATGCTATGGCTGAAATCTATTTGGAACCAATGCTAACAGCTCTGAAACTTGATCGGGGTCACGTATCGGCTATATTTTCGAATCTTCCGGCTATTACTCTGTTTTCAGGTCAAAGAATATTCTTTTGAAATAAAATCTTTTCTGAAATCTTTTCTTCTAGGACCCATAGCTACAGTATTTACTAATATGTATGGATGTCGAATAGTCACGATAGTTGGTGCTTGTCTAGCTTCATTAGGCTTCTTCTTAAGTCGATGGTGGGAAAACATTTATTATTACTATATAACGATTGGTCTTATGGGAGGTATATTTATCCTGGTTATTGTTATTCTTGATAACTATGAATATCATTATCTTCAGGCATAGGATTTGGATTAATCTATGCACCTGCCATTATTTCTGTTGCATATTATTTTGACCGAAAACGGTCATTAGCTATGGGTATTGCCGTCTGTGCATCAGGCTTTGGTACAGTTATTTTTCCTCCGTTGATGCATTGGATGATCAAAACACTTTTTCGACGCGAATACAAACCAGCTCTTCTAGTCGAATCAGGTATTATCTTAACATGTGTCATATTTGGTGCACTTATGGTAGGTTATTTTGCTTGGTTTTCTTTGTCAGACGCATGAGAACTGAAATTTTCTATAGCTTCCTCTACCACAAGAAAAAGCTGAACGACGACGTGAAGAAATAAAAACACGAAAACAAGCCAAGCGACAAGCAGCAAGTGTTACACAAAATCTTGCCAACACAGAACTACAACAACAGGCACCATTATTGGCAGGTCGACAACTAGTAGACAGGTAAAAATGGCAAGTATAATAATTCATTCGTGTTTAGAGCACTAGAAACCGCATGCTACTGTTGATAACTCGAAGTTTAAAAGAGTCCTTTTTGTATTTCTTCATTTTTGATGAAGGAAGAAAGAAATTTATTACAGGTTAACCTAGATGCTAGGTCGACTAGAAACATAAAAACTATGTGACAGTCTTTTTTTTTGAAAATTTTTTCAACGCGAATTTTCAATTGTTTAGCGCACGTGCAGGAAAAACAAACACCGCTGTTTCAGCATCAAGTAACGCAAATCAACAGAAACCACCGGTTGCATTACAGAGCAAACCTGATGATCCAACTCAATCTGATGACGAGAACGAGGAGGAAGATGAACACCTAGCGTCTCGTGCTTCTCCTGCAGTAATACGAAAAGATGCTATGTATCAAGGCAGCCTTGAAAACATACCATTATATAAAGAAAATATTGAAGAATATCATAGAAAGATAATCACTCCACTTGAAGTAACTGATCAACCTGCTTCAAGTACTGCTGCTGCTACTAATGTCGATCATATAAAAGTTAAAGGCTTTTTTGGTGAACTAAAAGCTGAGGTTGGCATAAAATTTCTTGCCGATGGTGCTTTCCTGCTTTTTACGATATCAAACTTTTTGACTAGTCTCGGATTTAACGTTCCATACAATTTTGCTCATGACCTTGCTAAAGATGCTCACGTTGTCGAACATCAAAGAGAATATGTTATCATGTCGATTGGTCTATCGAATGCTATAGGTCGAATCATCATTGGTTATTTAGGAGATCATAAAAAAGTACGCGTCATTTATATATGTTAATTACAGTTTGAGTGCTTTTTCTTCTTTTAAGATCAATCGACTTTACTTATATAATTCAACTCTAATATTAGCTGGTATTGCTACAATACTCGCTCCATATTGCCGTTCAAACGTCATTCCTCATATTGCTTATGCTTCAGTTTTTGGTTTCTTTTCGGGTGGTTATGTAGGTTTGACTTCGATCATCATCACAGACCTTGTTGGAATCCACAATTTATCAAGTGCATTCGGTATTATTCTGCTTTTTCAAGGTATAGCCGTTGCTATAGGTACTCCAGTAACTGGTATGTATCCTTTGTTTTCGTCTATTGTAAAAATTAAGATGATCGTTATACAATAGGAATCATGCGTGATAGCTTTGCAAAACATGCTCGTCCGTTTCTGTGGCCTTATTTTACTTTTGGTAGTTTCATAGTCTTGAGTGGCATCATTCTATTTGGTATTCCAACATTGAAACGAAGACAACAGCGCTGTCGAAAACTAACTAAAACTGAGTTGGATATGGGTGTTGTCTCGTATGCCGATAAAAATCCTTCATCGCCTGAACAGCAAAAATAACTCTAAACAGTTATTTTATTAGTCTTATTCAATAAACGGTAGGACGTTACTCTGATGCAAATTCCATCTCACGATGCATACCTAAACGGTGTGGAGTGAAGGAGCTGCCATAATCTACATTTCATCCATCCCCAAGGGGAATCATCAGATGACTTATCTAGGGTGTGGGTGTGGATGTAGGTGTCAGTGAGTAGAAGTTCTACACCATAGACACCCCCCCCCCCGCGCATTCACACCCTTTCTCTGTCACGGTCTGTGATGGGTATGGATTTTCTCTGTCAAGGTCTGTGGGAGAGGGGGGAGTCCAAATTTCTACCCCTATATACTCCAATACTCCTTTTAGATCGTGTTTCACAAAATGAGACTAATAAAAAAACATATTCAACTGTAAGATGCTATTCAACTTGATGTTCTAGTTATGAGTGGGACTCAATGGAACTAAAAAAATTCTAGTCTAACTTGCGACCAGTAGCGAATTTAGACAGGAAGACAACGAAGTAATCGTTCTTTCTGTCAGAATTGTTACCATCAACAATGAATGAAAAACTAATTTGTACTAGATCAAATGGCCTTCAAATACATTTTTATTCATCGCTCCACCTTTTCCAGAAACCTAAATTCGTCATTGTTCGTGACCATATCGTGTGGGTCAAGTGTTAGGACTTCTTTAGTAAATTGCGTGCATATGCGTAGGTATATTTATCGGGAATGTTGAGTTGTGAACTTTGCGTCTGCAATTTCGTTCTTACATAATTCTGGTGGTTCATATAGCTCCCTGAAAGTATTAACTGCACCTTTAATTTTCTTTTGTTGTGATGTTGGATCTTCAAAACCTAATCATTTGTCAACGACCTCGCACGCAGGATGTGGGTGTGGGTGTGAGCGTGGGTGTGGGTGTGGGGTGTCGGTGTGGGTGTGGGTGTGGGTGTGAGGTGTGGGTGTGAGGTGTGGGTGTGGGCGTGGTGTGGGTGTGGGTGTGGGTGTGAGGTGTGGGTATGGGTATGGATGTGGGTGATAGTTAGTCTTCTCTTCATTAGCACCCGCTCTCGCACCCACACCCACACCCGCACCTCACAACCACACCCACAACTCACAACCACACCCACACCCACACCTCACAACCACACCCACCCTGTCGTTCTAAAGCAAGATAAATTTTCTCGAGATTATTCAATTTAACATTCGGTTGCATTACCTTTGAAATGACCATTTTTCCTTGACTATATTAAAAAGACGTGAGAACAAGCAGTTGTCACTCAGTTGATTATACAGGAAACTCAATAGCAATTGTTCATACATTAATGTCTTAATTATTCATTCATTTCTTCACCTTAATTTTTTTTATCTGTGATGATTGCAGTTCATTTTTTGGCTATATATTTATGTGCGCGTTAGGAACTGTACACACAATAGTCGTGCTTTCAGTCTATTTACGCAAGCATGTATGATTCATCTTTGCCACGTTGTATTTATGTCAATGGCATTGTGTAATTACACTTACCTTATATTTATATCGCAGCGGCGTTGCTTTTGCTTTCATATTTATTTTCTTAAAGACTGTTAAATATTATCATCTCTGCAATGAATAATTCTTTAAATCCTGACACTGATATGTGCTCGATTTGCTTGGGTGCATTAGTACAACCAGGCATGGATGTGTTTAAAACTGCATGTCAACATCAATTTCATTTTGTTTGCTTAGCAAAAAGTGTTGAAGTACAGAATCATGAATGTCCACTCTGTCGAACTCGACTGGATTCTTTGTGCAGTATTATCCAGACATCAGTGCAGAGTACATCTCCACCTGTTCAGGTTCCTACACAAGCTGCTGCTGCTACACCATCGTCTACAACCTCTGGATTTTGGTCTACATTGAGAAGATCGCTTAGCAATGCATATAGTTGGGTAAATAAGAATTCTTCTCAGTCACAAGTATCATCCACACATATGAACCAATTTGAACAGTTCTCATACTCGAACTCATCTGAAGATTTGGTTGATGAAACAGTTGTTCGCGCTCTCTCAGCTCGAATCCAAGCTGTTCGTCAAAGAGCAGCTAATGGAACAACTGAACTTGAATTGATTACAGCTACAACTACGTTAGAATTTGGTGGTCAAGTATCAACACAAGCCTCCAATATCTATGGAATGGTGACACTCAAAGCACCTTCCCTTCTTCCAATCACAGCTAGCGAAAAGGAGCTCAATGAATTACGTGTACCAATCGATCTCGTGTGTGTTGTTGATCAAAGTGGATCAATGAAAGGAGAGAAAATTGCATTATTGAAAAAGACTTTGGATTATATTATCGATCAAATGGGTCCACTTGATCGATTAGCGATTGTTTCTTTTGATACTAAAGCATACGATCGATCTAACGGTCTTAATATGATGACACATGCAAAGTGAGTATTCTATTGCTTCAGCTTTTGATAAATATTTTCTTCTTTTAGACAACAAATTCTTCACACTGCAGTTGCGCAGAATGTTCATGCTAGTGGTGGCACTTATATTGGTTCTGGTCTTGAAATGAGTATTCGAATGTTAACCAGTCGTCGAACGAAAAATCCAGTCGGAGCCATGCTTCTTCTCACCGATGGTGAAGATAATCAGTATCATGATTATTCTCAACTAATGCGAACTCTACCTGATGGTGTCGTTTGTCACACATTCGGTTATGGACTAGGACATAGAGCAGCATTGCTATCTCAATTGGCGGAGCAGGGACACGGAGGAACCTTTACTTTTATTGATCAAGTCGATTCAATCGCTCTTGCTTTTGCCACTGCTCTTGGTACTCTCTTCACATGTGTTGCGCAGAATTTGAATGTAAAACTCGAGTTCGATGGTTCATGTGCAGTCACACATTCGCATTCTATATATAGATATGAACCTGTCCAATTACCATCTTCACAAGTCACATTCACACTTAATGATCTCAATAGTGAGGAAAGCCGTAATATTGTCTTTCAATTAAACGTACCTGCACTTGTCGAACAACCGAATAATAATGATGTGATCGGTGAGTAGAATCCTTGGTTTTTTTTCAAAACAGTACGATTCTTCTGTTGACAGGTCGTGTATCAATCGAATACACTGACGCAATCAATGGGCGCCAAATTCACACATCAGCGGTACCATTTCTACTTGCACGTCCTGCTCAGTTGGCTCCTGACTCGCCATTGCTTGTTGTAAACTATGCACTAGATCTACAACGTAATCGTGCAGAAACAAGTCGTGTTTTGAAGGAAGCAGTCAATGAACCAAACTACGAACGTGCTCGAGAATTATTGAATGTACAATTGGCAAAAATTCGAGCATCTGTGTCAGCTCAAGATCCACTATGTCAACAATTAATACGCGATTTAGAATATCAGTATAGAAGTCAATATGAATTTGCAACAACCATGACTAATATGTATATGCAGCATGGACAAGAACGAGCCACGTATTCAACAGCTACAACCTTCAGTACAAATTGTTATATGACATCGGGTCAAGAACGTTTCCGATCGATTGCACGTAAATATAATTAACACATCATAATTATTACTCTGTATTGCTTATTCAAATAAAAACATGTAAACAAAAAGAAAAATCTGCTTTTAGAAAGAATAAGGCAGTGAAATGTGTGAGTGTCGATGAACAGAGAAGAGCACTGATGGGTGTGGGTGTGGGTGTGTATCTTTACGTGTGGGTCGTTTACTCAGTCAGTCCCTTCGCGGTACCTACACCTGGAGTCGTGATGAACTTCAAGTATTCAATAATTGAATAATTGAATACTTGAAACAACTTTTCAATAATTGAATTCAAGTTTCAAGTTTGACATGTATGAAATAACAATGACTAAAAGTTTTCCGTTAGTTGGAATTGTTTTTCTCGATATAGGTTGAATTACGAAATACCGAAAAAGAATGAAATCGAGCACGAAAAAGTACGGGAGACTCCTTGCAACTGAATAAACTGTAGGTACACAAAAACGTGCACTCCCAGCTTGTAGTGCATACTCCTTAAAGCATTTAAGAATTACTCTGATGATGTCATCTGGGGGCGGGAGCGATCTAGAAAAAGTGACAACTGATGATATAGGGGAGGAAGAGGAATTAAAAATCAAGAAAAAGTAATGACGTAATATGTGAACAGCCTCTTATATGAAATAAAACTTTGAAAATTGTTTATGACTGCGAAAAAATCTCTAAAATCTCGACTGCATCCGGGCCGGGTCCGGCCGGGTGCCGAGTACAGCCATTTCGGTCCGGTTCGGTTCCGGATGCAAGGCGGTCGGGCCTGGTCCGGTTCTGAGCGTGAAACAAATTAGCCGATCCGGTTCCGGGTACAAAAAGTCATACCCATGCAGGACACTGCTGCACACAATGCTAGAGATTTTTACCGTTTGAAAGGCGATATCGGAAGACATCTATCTGTGTTAGAAATCATAAATTGATCAGTGATGAGTATTGGTCAGCTTTTCATGGACATTTTGAGATCTATCCAAGGCCAAGCTGGCATGAGGAATGCACCGATTCAGATTCCAGTCAGTTCAGATTCTTAGGACTGAGTGGAACTGACTGGCATTGGAATTGGAATCCACTGCGACTGACCGGAATCGAAACTGGAATTGACTGGAACTGACGTAGAATTTGCATTGGAAATGACCTAGAATTGACATGGAATTAGTGTAGAACCGAAATTTTGATCATTCAATCAGATTTCTCGATCGAAGGATATTAGTAATTGTGGACAAAATGTCACTGACTAATCAGAACCTATGAAAAAAGCTGATTGACTAATCAAACTCTTAATTCCAAGCTGATCCTAGACCGGTTCCCATTTAAATTCTAGGTCAGTTCCAGTCAGTTCTACTCGATTCTGATTCCGGTCAGTTCCAGTCGATTCCAAGCCAAGAATCGGAATCGAGATTGGCGCATTCGTAGCTAGCACGCTTCTTCCGTTCAGGAGTTAGAAGTATTTTCCTCGATCCCGAAATTGATATTCGAGCATGTTGAGTCGATTGGTGATGCGTTTTTATTTTTAAACCAATCTAAAGTCACTAGGTGAAGGTTTTCTAAGTAGTCGACTTCTGAACGGAAAAGCATGTGAGCTTGGCCCCGTATAGATCTTAAAATGTCCATCGAAAGCTAAATAACACTGACCATCATCAGTTGATGATTTCTAAAATAAATCGGCGTCTGCCGATGTCCTTTTTCCAACGATGAAAACCGTAAGTTGTTAACTGTCAGCGTTCTCCAGTTATTCCATTCACAATCATCCACACTATATTTTTAGATGGATAGCATTGCAGAGCAGGAGTGTAAATCAAGTGGAGTTCGCATGCGTGAATACCAGGAAAAAGGTTGACCATTTGCTAAGAAGTTTTGTCTTAAGAGTCGAGTCCGTTAATATCAAGAACGGAGTAAACATCATATGATCTTGGCCTATTTGTGTGAATAACTAAAAGGTCTTTCTAATAGCGAAATCAAGTGTCAGTCGAAAGAGAAACTGAAAGTATCATGAAAGAAATAGTGACACGTAAAAGTTTCCCAAATATCGAAGCTAATATTGCATATTCCAAATGGATGTGAGGTATTGATTTACATTCGATTCTCAAAAATAGCATCATATATTTTTCACTCGGTGAATCGGTAGTTAACTGAACTTTTTCTTTCTTTTGAGCCTAATGTTTACTTCTTTTCCACTAAAGTCTCCCAGGTACATTTGTCAGTGGAAGTCAGATGATTTTTATTTAGCTTTGCGAAATCAGGCACTCAGATGCCCTACGGAGTTTTCTTAATTAAGCCACTAACATAATGCTCTAGTGAAAACATGGTATAGGATTCATA